AATTATTACAAATAGCATGTGGTCCTTAGGTAAACCTAATCCCATGCGAATAGGGCATATGTCGTAGTTTTTTGCATACATTAGCATGCCTGTGACTTATAAAGCAAAATGACGTATTTATGTTTTCCCCCCATATTTATAACTCAATTTTTGGCTGAGATCTGATGATTTCATTCATTCCGACATGGAAAATATTGAACACGGTGGTACGACGTTTACGGCGGCAAGTATGATAACTTTGAGAATCAATCCAATTCCAAATGGCCACCAGAGCACAAACATATCAGTCAACATTTAAATGGCTGTTAACTCATTAAAGTTTACAAACGTTGAGCTAAAGTTTGAGTTGGTAGTAGCTGGGAGTCAGAGCGTGACATCTCAAGATGAGCCGAGGAGGAAATGAGGAAATAAGTAGCTGACGACCAACAGGAGACGTCGGCTTCTTCATCCCGACAGAAGAGGATTCAGTTTGTGTGTTCGAGTGAATTACTAGAAAATGTTTGCATTCTTATTTTGTTTTATTAACTTTACCCATAAGTGTTTTAATGTTCAACTAACATTTTAACAAGGCGGAGCTACAAGTTCTAATCAGACTAAAAAACTTGTGTTTTCATGAAGTCTTGCTTTGTTTTTTGTAGTTTCTGTACGTTGAGATGTGATCGTGTGCCACAAACTACGTATAACAGACTGTCACAGCAAATAGCCACACGACTCACTTCTCCAGTGTGTGTGTGTGTGTGGGGGGGGGGGGGGTAGTAGAAAGAGCAGCTGCTGCCTCTTACGTAAGGAAAAGTCTTACGCTCAGTGAGTTTAGCAGCTCTGATAATTATTTGATTTCTGTGTGATGAAGAAGAACCCGTTCTGCAGTTGTTGCAAACTGCCGAAAGGCAGCGATGTGGGCAGGGTCGCATTTACATATTTATGCATCTGAAGTTACCGAATGACGAAGAAATTGCAGAATTTAAAGTCGTTTTTAAACCATGGGAGTTTTTTTTTTTTTTTTTGTTCGTAGCAGAAACATCAAAACTTAAACATGTTCGGAAGAGATAAGCCTTTCGGAGATAACAGATGAAGATCAAATTAAATATAAAAAATATAAAATTTTACCAACCACTGGTGGTTTACGTCACTTAAATTTTACATAAATTTAGTCTCCGGACAGAAGACTGAATTTACAGAAAACATTTACGGCCTGTGAATCTGTTTGTCTCTAAACAACAAGGAGTGATTCTTACAGAACGTGTGGTCCACCGCTTCACACAACACCATCACATCCCCGACGTCTCTGAAAGCAGCAGGACAGACGGGGTTTCTGTGGCTGCAGTCTTTGATTCAAAGTGCCGCCCTTGAGCGCGACTGTGATTATCAAATCAAATGCAAATAAGACCGAGCTTTTACAAATTAACTTCACACAATGCTGTTAAAACATCAGAGCGATGTCAGATAAACTGGCTCGCTCCTCTGTGACGTTCGGGCTTCCAGCTATGCGTTTTGTGAACGTACAATTATGTGTTTAGAACATGAAAAGCATCACAGAGTAAATCGTGTTAAACGTTGCGTTTACAAGAGGGCACAAACTCTGATGCATACGGCATACACACCACTTCATCAAGATTGCCTGTCATTTGTGATCTTTTACTTTCTGTGTTCAGGTTGGAAATGGTGTATCTGCACCAGTGCCTCTTTTCTGTGGGGTCCCACAGGGCTCGATACTTGGACACCTTCCGTTTTCACTCCATCTGCTCCCTCTTGGGCCTATCATGAGGAAACATGGTCTTTCTGATGATTGTCAGATTTATCTGCCCTTAAAACTTAACAGTTCCTGCTCCTTTTGCCCTTTGTTAAAATGTCTTAATGACATTAAGGCATGGATGGCTTCAATTTCTTTTGAGTTTTAATGATCAGAAAACTGAAGAAGTTGTGTTTAGCCCTAGCTCTACTGCTGTCTATGCTCCTGTAAGTCTCGACTCTCTTCAGTCATATCTTAAGCAGCCCGTTACAAATATCAGGATGGTTTTAGACTGATTAACTCTGTTCTGCAGAAAAGTTTCTTCCAGTTAAGGCAGATAGCTAAGCTTAAGTCCGTGTTGACCTGATTTGACCTTGAAAAAATAGTCTGTGCATTCGTTACAACCCGGCTGGACTACTGTAACGTGCTCTATGTTGGGGTCAGACAGATTTCCTTTTCACGTCTCCAGCTCGTCCAAAATGCTGCATCTTGGCTATTAACAGGAACTCGTAGGTTTGAGCACATTTCACCAGTTTTGTCCTCCCTTCACTGGCTCCCTGTGAGTGTCAGAACTGATTTTAAAATTCTCATATTGTTCTTTAAGTGCATTAATGGCCTTGCACCATCATACCTCTCTGACCTACTTCAACCATGTGTTCCTTCTCGGGCGCTGAGATCATCTGCTGTAAAAAGTATTTAATAAATTATCGGTAAATGAAACAAGCATTCTGGGAAGCAGCTGGGATGGGAATCAGAACCTCTACTGCTCCTCCACATTGAGAGGAGCCAGTTGAAATAAGTTTCTGTCCATCTGTCTTCCCAAACTTTTTAGCTTCTGATCATCAAAATTACAGAAGAAACTTGGCACCAAATATCATTGGTTGAACTTAGAACATAATGACAACACAAACGGCTTTAGTCTATTTTGTTTTGTTTTATTAAAGCTATGCTTGTATAAATTATTTTAAAAGTTTTGACTTATTGCAATTTCAGGACCCCCTACTTGGTGTTTTGTGACCACCACACACCATTAATCCACACTCACCACAGTTCTGGTCCCAACTTTGGGAAACTGGTTGAAGTATCAAGTAGCTCTGATGTGTTTTTCAGTTTTATTATATTCAGACAATCAGTTTGAGATTCTGGCAGCTGTATTTGGGACCAAAACTTGTTTAAAAAAATGCTGCATCAGACCCGGGTCTGCTTGATGAATGGGCCTGTCTTAAACAAAAGGCTTGGTGATCTTTTAGCACACAAAGTACGTGTCGGGATGACTCGACTACTATCACTTTGAGCTCAATGTCCATAAAACTGTCTGAATTACAGCCATTTTTGCGTTTGCTCAGGTGAATAAGCTGCGAGGGCCATCTTACACTGGGTAGACTCCGTTCTTTAGGTTTAGGAAACATTTAGGTCACAGGTTTTAAACTCTGTACAAGTAATTTGTATAAAAGATGAAGACGTGTAATTCAGTGTTTGAACCTGAATCATCGATAGCTCAGCTGCAAAGTTAAAACGAGCTTAGCGTTTCACTCAGAACATCAATTCTCCCACAAAGCAAGCATCACTGAACTGAATACTTTTCTTACAACTTTGTCCCCTTCCTTTTAAACGTTTCATTATTAAATAAGAGGCCACATCAGTCATCATAATGTTTCGCTGCGTGAAGGTTCACCTCGTTTGTCTGATGCACTCGACTCCCGTGACATTTCAAACTTGACTGACGCGAGACGTCTATTTGAAGAAATGCCTGAGCGGCACTTCAGAGCGTTACAACAAAGCTTCTCTACGAGAACTGATAAAAAAAGCATTTCTGACAGTAAATAAATCACTAAAAAGCTGTTACGTCTGTTCAGTGACCAGCATGGGAAACTACTCTAAACCGTGGGATTACTTACTTATAGGAAAATAAAAGAAAGTCGTACCAGCCGTCTCCCCATCAATATTTTTCCACTTCATTTCATTGAGAAAACAATTGGACGACGGTGCAGAGCACAAACTCAACACATGCAGGTCAGTGAGGCCAGTTCACAAAGTCCACAAATCACTCCCACATTCTTAAACCGCATCGACGTAACAATTTGGTGAGTAATTTTTCCTATTCAGCACGATCCCCGTGATCCAGTGCATGAAATTCTTCCTCAACATCATTTTGACACAAACAACTAATTCTCTCTTAAAACATGGCCCTGCATGACCCCGCAGCATTTTGCTCTCCTTTGCTGGGTTTCTTTTAATAATCGTTCACAACACAAGAAGTTCATTTTCAGCAGTTTAAGGTTTTTGTGTGATGATGTCACATTTGAAGCTCGTGAAGGGAAAATGTGACAAAACCGGGGCTTAAAACAAAATAATTCTCACAAAACAAACGTGTAATCTTTGAATGTGACAGTAAGGGTTGGGCTGAAACGGTCAAGAGCTTTTAAACAAGTTCAAATTAAAATGCATCAACATTTTAACACGTTTAACAACGTGTAAATATCGTTTCAGACCAAATTATTATTTTTTTATCTGCGATATCGTCAGTAAACGGGTGCGCCTCATCATAATTCACCGCCAACTAGAGAAATGAACGAGGAGCGACGGCTGAAATCTGCTGAAACAGAGTTGTTGAAGCTAAAACGAGAAGATCGGGGACTGAAATGAGCAGAACACGAGCTAAAAGCTAAACAAACACAGCTAAAAGAACAGCAAAATTGTAGCTAAAAGATAAAACGAAAAAGTTGCTAAAAGTGGCATAAGGAAATAAAAATGAAGTGGATTTCAAAGAGAACTATGTTTTATAAAGGCGTTGAAGAGTCTTCTATGTATTTCAATGAGTACATTCTATTGATTAAAGTTTATTGTTGTTAAAAGTATAAAAGTCCTTGAACATCATTCTAGATTGAGCCGAGTGTTTTGATACACAAACCGTTAAAATAGCACAAAGCTTATTTAAAATAAATAATCGTACAGAACTTGAAGCAGTGGAGCAACAATGTGAATGCAGACTCAGCATTCACAATTAAAAATATCTGAAATAAATGGAAAAATAAATACGAATTTTAAGTTAACTATGAATCCAGCAGCTCTAAAACCTTAATATGAACGCAAAGTTGTCCTTCTTCATTTGCTCCAAAATATAAATCAACACAGTAAAACTTCCTGAAGTGTCCATTTTTTTTTACTTTTTTCCTCTTTAATTATCTCATCTCTTTCTGTCAACGTTAACTCTAGAAATCCAGCCTGTGACGCTAACAGCATCGTGCTACGAATAGAAAGAACTCGATACCTTGTTGACTTCCAGGATTTCTCTCCTCTCCTCGCTGCCGACGTGGCTGTGCCCGCCTGAACGGTCCTCATGTTTGGATCCATCATCCTCCACAAAAGGTATCAGTTGCTGGAAGGGACAGTAAACAAAAGTGTGGATATTACTGTCAAGACAACAGTAAGGGGACACCTTATTCCATTGAGCATCATCTGCCCTTATAGAGTATCAACTCTGCTTCTGGAATAATCTGCGTTGGTTTGTGGGCTTTCTTTGTGTTCGTCACAAAATTAACTCAGAACTTTATCTTTGTTCATTTAATGCACGTAAAGCTCAGATTCACAAGAGATTCCAACTAATGAAACCTATCTGCTGATTTATACCCAGTTTTCATGAAGGAGTGGAAAAATGTGGATTGTGTGCCGGCTCTCAAACATGGGCCGAGTCTGGCTCGTTTCTCTGAGAGAGACAGGAAGCAGTGGAAGAAACGGACAGCGAGCGAGAGATTAATTCGGTTTTAAACGCTCCGTGTGTTTGACCTTGTCTGCTTGACACAACGGAGAAGCTGATGTGGAAGGCAGCGTTCCTGAGGGGGGGGGGACCACTTGCTTTGTTTTCTCATACTGCCCCCTGGTGGTCAGCGCAGTAAAACCAGGAAGGACTTGAGCCGAACTGTGATTTGTGAAGCTCTAAAGAACAAACTTCTCTTTATCAACAGTAAAAAGAACAAATGTTGTGAAAATGTGACCGATGTTTCGTCAAATATTCTGATCAGGAACACAAGACCAAAAAAATCCTTGTCCAAAAACACCACACGTCTTTTTTATATTTCCTAAAAATAAATAAATTAAAAAGGAATGCATATCACCAGTCTCCAATCAGGCAAAAGTTTTAGACCAAGATCATTAATGATGAGAAAGGACAAAGTTTTAGCCAATTTGGTCAAATATTTTGCGCATAATATCATCATTATATCTGTTTGAGTTCAAGAATCTTTATTATATAGGGAGAAATAAATAAATAAATAACAATAAATAATAATAATATAAAAATTATATAGGGGCAATTTGTTTCACAGTCAGCAGTCACATAAAACATCCACACTAGACAAGACACAGACATTAAAATATTAAAACATGAAATGATCAGCGTTCGTTGAGAAGCCTGATCGCTACAGGATGAAAGAGTCTGCTCGTTCTACATCTGGGCAGCAGATACCTGCATCCAGATGGAAGCAACCTGAACTCACCATGGAGTGGGTGATCAGGATCTGCCAGAATCTGCATGGCCTTGTTCACTGACCTCGCCTTGTGTAGGTGAGTGAACAAGGCCTGGAACGATGCAGAGTAGGTGTTGAGGATGACTCCCGGCTACTAACACAAAATTCTGCTCAGTATCTGTAAAATGAACCGAGTTGTAACCATTTTTGTGTTGGCTACGGGTGGATAGCTGTGGCAGACATCTTGAATTGGGTTAAAACCAAAAGTTGTAGAGGTACACTTAAGTTTCACTAAAATGTCTGGTGTTTCGTGAGATATTTTGCTGACAAACACAGAAGACGCCAACAAATAATCTCAAAGCTTTAAGCAAAAATACTGTGCCACATGTCGCCGTCAACTTATGTGTTAGGAATGATGCTCAACCACAACCACACCAAACCTTAGCGCATTGTGTCACGTTGGTGGAGTTTTAGCTGGTCAGTCAGTTGTGGCGGCCATCTTGAATCAATTTTATTAAACTGTTGATGTACGTTCAATGATTCTTCCAGTGGTTTATGAGCCATTATCTGAACCAAGAGTTTACTTCAATAGTTAAAGTTTTAAAAACGTCTTGCATAACGAGTTAGTGCTCAGAGTTTGTGTTGGGAATGACTTTCAGCAACTACCAAATTAATTTCACTTTCATATCTCTAAAACTATACGAGTCCTAGCCAAGTTTGTGTGTGATAAGGTTGCCTAGCTATGGCAGCCATCTTGACTGGTCCAGACTTCAAAAGTTATTCTGTTGTAGATTCACATCCAATGATTTATTCGAGTGCGTTGTTAAAATCTGTTCATTAGTTCTGGAGATATTTTGCTAACAGAATAGACGAACTTACAGATGCAAAAAAAACAAACTGTCTTTGACCTTCAGGCAACAAAAGCAAATTAATTATCGGGACAAAGATCACAAAACTGCATTTGTACAAATAAACGCATCGATAAACTGAAATAAAATAAATAATTAAAAGAAAATCACTGACAAACGTTTGTTTTCCTCCACAGTCAAACCACACATGATGACAGATTTAGTCGAAGAGTCCCTTCAATTTTAGTGGGCAATAAAACCAAAGCTCTGGGGTTGAAAAAATAAAAGAGGTTAGACAATAAATCAAAACGGGAAACAGACTACCCAAAAAACCATGAAGATATACGAGGCAGGATAAAAAGAGATGTGAAAATCTGGAAAAGTTCAGGTCCCGAGAGTTTCCAGGAAGAGCCAAACGCCAAACTGTAAACTTGAACAGAGGAAAGACGACGCGGACATGTGCAGAACATTAGGCCACACTTCCTCTGCAGAAAACTTTAAGTAGGAAAAAAAAAAAAAAAAAGATGGCAGCCATTTTAATTTAAATCATCTGAGAGAACAGCCAACAACGTATCAAATGTTAGAGGAGGTGGGCAGATTTTGGCAGCTGGAGGGAGGAAAATAAAATGTGCTGAGTATGGTAGGAGGAGATGGATGTGTGTGTGTGTGTGGGGGGGGGGGGGCACTGTGCATGCGAGTCAGTATAAATGTAGTGCCTGTGTGAGTCATAACCCCTGCCTCCTCTACAGAAAGATGGATGTGGTTTCCTGGCTGACAGAGAAGAATGAGCTAATGAAGTTCTCCAGGTTGCCTCAGTGAAACGAAAACAAAAGAGCAGGAAAAAAAGAAGTCATGAGAAATTGGGTGAGGGGGGCAGGACTGCTGTTCACGGCAGGAAATGGCAAGAGTGTGGACGACAAAACAGAATATAAAATCAGAGAACTGGAGAATCTGCCAGTGAACGAATGAAGAAACGGGGTTTGAACACCTAAAGACAAAAACGACAGCTGGATGGAAAAAAGATGGAGGCGCTGACGTGTGCGCTTGGTCCAGCTGTTCATTAAAGAGGTCTACTGCTAATTAGGCTGCGATGAGGTCACCCTGCTCGAGTCATTGATTCCACTTCCTGTCTGAGGCAGCCAATGGTGAGCAGCTGTCAGGTGGGCACCTGAATTCTCCAGGATGATAAATGGTGCGAGCACCGGGGCCAAAATCAACAACTCTCAGCCGCAGACAAACACGGCGAGCTCAAGTTATTGGCTGGTCAGCGCTGAACCGAGACTCCAGGGGAACTGGACAAACATTTAAAGATGGTGGGGAGAAGGGGGGGTAAATGTCAAGCGGACCGTCGTAGCTTGACTTTTCGTCAGAGTCACGTTGAACACACAGTGGACGGATCATATTAGTAGGAAATGTACACGGCGACAGTAAACCTAAATTTGTTCCAATTTAAGACTGGTCTCCTCCCACATCCTCCTCCATCCCCAGTGGGAGTGTGGTGAGAAAGATTAGCTCTGAGGCAATCTTTAGAAATCAGAAAGGGACTGCCGCAGTCATAAATCCAATCAACCAGATGTGGAAAGCAGCGCCGACGTCCTGCATTAAACCACGTGTCTGTGTATGTATATAAACACGTGTGAACGGACAGAGCCGGCGTGAACCATAATCAGCAGTAAAGAAACTGGAGACTCACCTGAAACTGCTGCAGACATGAAACACAGACCTAAGGGGAGCGTGTGAGGTACGAGCCCCCCCGGAGGTAAAGAGGTGGGTTTGTGTGCGCAGGAAGCTGTGACCTACTTCCTTTTCAACTAACGGCTGCCTAATTTTAGCAGAATTTAACGGAGATGAGGCGGCACCAGAAAGGATTTAAAAAAAAAAAAAAAAACCTCCTTAACATACAGCATGTGTTGCAGTTTGTTTGAAGCTTCCAGATACAATTATCTATTTAAAAAGTCAATTCTAATTCTTTAAGTGCAATCTGTGTAACTCGTTTCATTTAAATGTTTGAGTAATATAATTTCATTGAAGCTAAAGCAAAGAAAACTGAAACCGGTGACCGAATCGCTCCGGTTGAGCCGGTCAGACATTAGGGAGACGAGGATGCGCTGGTTTGGACATGTGTAGAGGAGGGACAGTGGACATGTTGGACAAAGGATGTTGAACATGAGAGGACATGAGGAAGACCACAGAGAAGGTTCATGGATTTAATGACAAAAAAAAAATGCAGAAAGTTGGTGAGGCAGAGGAGGATGCTAGGGGTACGGGGAGATGAAGGTAAATGATCCCTCACCCCTAATAATAGTTTATCACTGGTATATAACCATAAAGTTGCAGTCGTGCTGAATTCTGCAACCAGCGAGCCATGCAGCCACGGCTATTTTGACAATCACGTCCCATTTCTTAGTTCTGGCGATTCTGAATGGATTCTAAAGGCCCATAAATCGATTTTAAAATGCGTTAGTTTACATTTTTTTCCGCTCCTACTCCCGAGCGTACTGCATATTGCATTAGGCGTCTGCTCGCCCGCCGTAGAATTGGGCCGTGTAGGCCACCGTACAGCAAGCTGGTTAGCCAGCTCCCTTTATCTGAATGGAGTCTGTTAGCATGGAGGAGGAGGAGGACCGCGCGATTCAACCCGCTCCTTCGTCTTTAAAAATCATTTCAGATCCTACAATGTTCTGGGAGAAGACGGAGCTTAACAAGAGCGTGGTTGTTTGTAAGTAGTGTAAAATAAAATTGCGGGACAGTATTTTGGAAATACGACAAAATGTGCGGAAGGAGAAAGCGAAGCAGCCGACCAGCGAACTCTGCAACAAACGTCCAGGCTTCCCGGTGAAGAGTTCCCTCTCCATCTCCTGCTGTATGACAAAGGATTTACGAGCGGACAGCTCAGTGGAAGACGAGGGGTTTAGGTTTATTTTCAATACGTACATTATTCCTTCATGTAGCTTTTTTAGTGATAAAGCTGCGCCACAACAGCTATGATGCTACCAGCTGCAGCTCAAAGCTAACCGTTTTTTCTCATAATATACTAAAACTTAGACAAGTTGTACAACAAACTTAATGTAATTTGTTTTTTTTAACAGGTTGAAGAGAGGCCAGATGAGACACATCGCCTGAAGCCAATTCTAAATGATACAGTTTATGATTTATAAATTACAGTTCAGAAGAGGTTTTGTGCAAACTTGCCCAGGTTTTGAAATTTTGTTAAATATTTACTAAATATGAATCAATATGGTTAAGACTGAAGTCTGTATATTTCATATTAGGTTAAGTTTTGAAAATATAGCAAACGTTACTGCAATATGGTTAAAAAAATAAACTGAAGTCTGTATTTTATCTTGAGTTAAAGGTTAATGGCTGAAGTTTTTGTTTACATTTATATTTATACATCTTGAATTATTTGTCTGTGATGGACTTGAGACCTGTCCAGGTGTTCCCACCTGTCGCACAGTGATGGCTGGATGTGGGCACCAGAGACACCCTTGATCCGTAAATGAAGAAGTGCGTAAAGATGATAAATGGATGGATTAATTATTTGTTCATAGATGTTTTTTTTTTTTTTTAGAAGAAGAATCCAGGCAGCTAAGCTAACCTAATACAGGTCATTTAAGTTACAGAATGTTATGCACTCCTGTATTTGTTCCTATTTTTGGTATAAATATAAAACGATGCTGATATAGAAATGATTATTTTAATGCTTTTATGTCAATTTATACTTA